TCCCAAGGTTGGACCAATCTGACACTCCTCCAGCACTGTCGGAGAGAGCCTGTTTTTGGAAGATGGTGGGGGGAGAAGCCCACCTATCCCAAACAGAGATTGGAGTAGGCACTCTGCTGCCCAAGGCCCTGGGGTGTGAATGGCGGGGAAGGGGAAAGGTGAATGGGCGGGTGGCTCAGCAGTCCTCCTGCCTCATTTCTCTCCAGAGTGATGCTGACGGGGACACTGTCTGACCGGCAACCAGCTGAACTCCACCTCTTCCGGAACTACGATGCTCCAGAAACTGTCCGGGAGCCTCGTTTCAACCAGAACGTTAACCTCAGGCCTCCAGCTCAGCCCTCAGGTTTAAACCATGTTTGATGCATCCGTGGGAAGCGACTGGCCCGAGAGGCTGCAGGGTGGTGGGTGGGAGTCATGCACTTGCCATCAGGCACCCTCACTGTGCCACCAGCCCACCCACTGTAGTGGTCTTTATTGGCTGAGGACAGGGATTGCAGGGGAGCTGTGAGGCCCCCGGCGGGCTAGAAAAGTCCCTGGAAAGTTCTCAGCTGTACCTGCCTTCTACCAGGACGAACTGGCCAGACAGTGTAGCCTTGTGGGTCCTGCTTCTGTAGAGTTCCCAGCCTCCCCTCTTCCCCCACCCCCAGCCCCCCACATGCACACCCTGAGATCTGGAGCGCATGGGTTTTATACCAGTTCCTTGTGCCACTGGGCCACCCTCCTTCACCGCCCCTAGACCAGCTGGTGTGGCGGGCAGCCCGAAGCAGCGGGGCAGCTCCTACTTACTTCCGACCCAATGGGCGCTTCCTGGACGGCGGGCTGCTGGCCAACAACCCCACACTGGATGCCATGACCGAGATCCATGAGTACAATCAGGACCTGATCCGCAAGGTGAGTGCCGCAGGCCAGAATGCCTGGACCCGCCGCTCCCTGGAGCCAATCCTGTTTCAGCAAACCGTGCTAGGGACTGACCCCCAGGACAGCAGGTGGCTTTTACACATGCACTTATTCATATGTGCACGCAGGGCAACTTGATCTCACTGGAACCTGTTCCGCGGGTGGGGTCTGCCTGAAGCACTGTGCTAAGGGGGGTCTGAGGACCACTGTGCTCTAAGTGTACATGAATGGGGAGGGCAGCATGCGTACCATGAACGTACCCCTCGAGCCAGCCTGGGGACGGGACACGTGCTTGCCCTTGAGCTCACCTCTATGGATAGTCCACCGGGAATGCCTGCCCCCACGGGTTACTGGTGCTGTGGTGGAGGACCGTGATGCCTCTGCTAAAAGGCCTGGGGGCTGGGAAAGGGCTCCGTGGAACAGGGGACCCATCCTGAGGCCTTTGGGGACAGAGCAGTGCAGAATCAGTGATCTGGAGGAAGAGCAGCAGCCCTCCCCCTGCGGAGGTACAGCAGAGGCTGGCAGGACCCAGCATGCTAGGGAAGGCCCTGTGGTGTGGCGGGCAGTGGGGGACCAGGGTGGGCCAGCACGGTGGCTGAGCTCGGGCCCTGGAGCCAGAGCGCATCTGGGGGTCCCGATTCTGCCCGCGCTCACTGCAGCTACTGAATGGGGCCATCATAGCGCCTGCCTGGGGAGGCTGTCAGGCCTTGGCATGCTGTTGGCTGTGAAATGTTCACAGCAGCGCCTGGAGCCTGAGCTCCATCCTTGCTGCTGTGGTTTCCCGAAGCCCCAGGGCATCCTGGGCGGCGCAGCAGAGGCTCTGGGTGGACAGAGAAGGGAGCGCCCTCTAGGGGCCAGACCAGGCAGGGTGGGCTTCCTGCAGGCGGCAGAGACTCAGACCCTAGCCAGTCTAACTCTCCTATTGCATGCGGATGGGGAGCCTGGGACCCTGAGTGGGAGGCGTCACCCAAGATCATCCTGCAAATTGGCAGCAGAGCTTGTTCAGAAACAAACAAGAGAGGCAGCGGCCGGGGGCGGTGGCTCACGCCTGTAATCCTAGCACTTTGGGAGGCCGAAGCAAGCGGATCACAAGGTCAGGAGATCTAGACCATCCTGGCTAACACGGTGAAACCCCGTCTCTACTAAAAATACAAAAAAATTAGCCAGGCGTAGTGGCAGGTGCCTGTAGTCCCAGCTACTCAGGAGGTTGAGGCAGGAGAATGGTGTGAACCCGGGAGGCGGAGCTTGCAGTGAGCCAAGATCGCACCACTGCAGCCCAGCCTGGGCAACACAGCGAGACTCTGTCTCAAAAAAAAAAGAGAGGCAACACCCAGGGCTCAGGTTCAAGCCTTAGCCCCTACTTCCCTACCATGTGGCCCTGGCAGCTGCTTCCGGGCCTGAGCTTTGCTGAGAGCCCTCATTTGCAAACTGGGTCATTGGTGCCCTCTCCACAGACTGGCTGGAGATTAAATGAAGTAATGATGCAAACACCTGGCAAATCACTGACACCAAGAAACACCCTCTACCTTTCCTCCCCTGGCCACGACTTGAGTTGGGCCAGGATCAGATGGGGTGGGCGGGATCCTTCTTGCAGCTGGTGTATGTGTGGTCCTGTTGGTACAAAGGTGCTATCCTGAGCAGATGGCATGTGATGCCCGCACCAGCCCTTCCGGGGCCACGTGCAAGGGGCTGGCTGGAAGTCATGCCAGGCGTGCTCTTGCCACCAGAGACCTCTTGCCCTGTTCTCATGTGCCCCAGAGCCCAGCCTTGGGCCTCCCCTTGACGCTCCCCTTCCCTGTAGAAGGTCCCTTCTGACTGCCCCTGTCCTGTTCCCAACAGGGTCAGGCCAACAAGGTGAAGAAACTCTCTATCGTCGTCTCCCTGGGGACAGGGAGGTCCCCACAGGTGCCTGTGACCTGTGTGGATGTCTTCCGTCCCAGCAACCCCTGGGAACTGGCCAAGACTGTTTTTGGGGCCAAGGAACTGGGCAAGATGGTGGTGGACTGTGTGAGTGTGGGCCCCTCCCCCAGGCCACTTACCTCAGGGTCTGCAGCCCAGGTGGATGGCCTCCCCTCATGTTGTGGGGCCTTTGGTGTCGGGGGAGACAGCAGGGCTGTGTCCATCGCCTTTAGCCAGCTGGAGAGAGAGAGAGTCCCCAATTCGGAGTCTCAGTGCAGGGCAGGGACCCTCAGTGACCACCAGCAGGGGGGTTTTCAAACCCTTTTTAGCTGTGGATCCCTTTCTGCAAATATAGCCCAGTGTAGAAGTCCAGAATGGACAAAAGCTCCAGAGTGGGATGGGCACTCACCCCTATAATCCCAGCACTTTGGGAGGCTAAGGCGGCTGAATCACTTGAGTCCAGCAGTTTGAGACCAGCCTGAGCAATATAATGAGACTTCGTCTCTACAAAAAAATTAAAAACTTAGCTGGGCATGGTGGTGTGTGCCTGTGGTCCCAGCTACTCAGGAGGCTGAGGTGGGAGGATTGCTTAAGCCCAAGAGGCAGAGGCTACAGTGAGCTGTGATCATGCCACTGCACTCTAGCCTGGGCAACAGAAGGAGACTTTGTCTCAAAAAATAAAAATAAAAAAAAAAAGAAAGAAACTTCAGGGAGAGGGGACATTGAGGCCTGTCCACTCAGCCACTACCCTTTTCCCAACTCACCCGCTACACTTTTCCCAACTCACCATCCCTGAAAGGGCACTGCTGAGACCTCTGCCGCTCTGATTGCACAGCTGGGACAGTCCCTGCAGTCCCAGGAAGGGGTTTTGCCCGAGCCACTCTGCTGCTGTGTGGCTCAGCCCGACTCGAAAGAGCCTGGGGCTCTTGAGGCCAGGGCTCTGAGAGTGCAGGGCAGGGCCAGGCAGAGTGCGGGCTAGGCGGGGTGTGGGCCTGGCGCTTAGCAAGGCTGCTTCTCACCAGTGCACAGATCCAGACGGGCGGGCTGTGGACCGGGCGCGGGCCTGGTGCGAGATGGTCGGCATCCAGTACTTCAGGTGAGGGCTCAGCCGCCCCAGCCCTTGGCCCCGTGCCCTGGCCTGGTCGGTCTCACCGACCTTCCCTTCCCAGCCCTGGTGTGGACTTTCCCTTTCCCCAAGGGTCTGCTCTGTTCCCCAAGCCCACCCTGGTCCCAGCTGGCATCCCCTGCCCAGCCTGAGCAGCCTAGGGTGACTCCCTCCTCCCTGGCCCGAACAGATTGAACCCCCAGCTGGGGACGGACATCATGCTGGATGAGGTCAGTGACACAGTGCTGGTCAGTGCCCTCTGGGAGACCGAGGTCTACATCTATGAGCACCGTGAGGAGTTCCAGAAGCTCATCCAGCTGCTGCTCTCACCCTGAGGGCCCCCGGCCTCTCACCGGCCCCAGCTGACCTCATCCATTCAGCCCCTGCCAGGCCAGGCCCAGCCACTGCCCTCCCGGGCAGATCCGGGCCCAGGCAGCTCTGCATCCATAGACCAGGCCTGGGAGAATGCCAAGCTGCCTGCCCAAGGCTGGTCCTGAAGGCCTCTCTCCCACTAACCCCGCCTTCCAGCACTTTCTGTCATTCCAGGCTGGGAAAGTCTAGAGCCCCCTTTGGCCCCTTTCCCTGACTGTAAAGGACAACTGACTCCCCCATCAGCTCAAACATTAAGGGTACCCGGGTGCAACTGTGCCCCTGCCCCCAGCCACAGCCTCCCTGAGGACCTGTGGGGCTGCCTCCGCCCTAGCCCCTAGCAAGGGCACTCCCAGGCTTCCTAGTGGGTGCAGCCCACTCCCTCTGCCCTCTGCTCCGCTCCCTGAGGGCTGGGACTAGAGAAATGGGGTGTCCCGCACCCCATCAGCCAGGAAAGCCCAGGCCGCAGGAGCAGGATGCCCGTTCGACTTTACCCCTCACACTGGCCCAGCTGCTCACACTGCCCCACCCCGAGAACTCTCAGCTCTCAAAGGTCATTCCTGGGGTTTCTTCTTCCCAATGGAAGTGGCTTAAGAGCCAAAACTGTGAAATAAACCATTTGGATTCAAGTTCACCTGTGTTGTGTGTGCAGTGGTGTGAGTACCCCTGCTCCCCCGAACCCCAACTCCTCTCAGCCTTGACCCTTGGCCTTGACCAGCCTTTTCCGGCCCTTAGGGTGCTCAGAGGCAGGTGCCAGGCCCACAAAGCCCAGGCAGGCCCAAGGGGGGACACAATCCTCAACCTCATCTTGGAGGACCCAGGGAGAGCCCCATTTGTCACCCAGAGAGGCCGGGGACTCTGCATGGACAGGCAGCGCATGTGCAGGGCCAAGGTCTGCCCAGGACTGGGCAACTCCAGCGTCTGTGCTGCTGCCGCTCCAGCAGGTGGAGAAGCTGGGCGGGCCAGAGTGGCTTTGGAAGCCACAGAGGGCGTGGCCCCACGGTGAGCCGCAGGCCTAAGGACAGTGAGAAGTACAGCAGCATTGCCCTCCAGCGGCTGCGTCCGCTAGGTCTGGCAGAGAGCGTCCTGGGGGAGGGCATTGGGCAATGCCAACCCAGTAAGGTGGGTAATGCCTGGTATAGGCAGGTGGGAGGGTGGGGCCCCCCAGGGTCAGGGGTCCTTGAGGAGGGGGTGGCCCAGGAGGGGGCTCATCCACATGGGCACTTGTATCAGCCCACGGCTCCGAGGGGTGAATAATTGAAGGGCAGGTCACACGAGCCCGCCCGTCACAGGATGCCTTCCCCACCGGGTCCGGTTACGCCCCAGATCACATTCTGACATCCCGAGCTGGTGAATAATTAAGCGCCACTCCTCTGAGGCAGGCCTCCATCTCCAGGTCCCTCTCTGCAGCTTCCTCGCTGCCGGCCGAGCCGTGGGCACCTGAGGAACTACCCACCACTGCTCCCGGCTGTGCCATCACCACCAGCTCCCTGCCTCCTGCTCAGACCCGGCGACAGCCCCTCCATGGCCCCTGAGATGGACCAGTTCTACAGGTCCACCATGGCCATCTACAAGGTGAGCACGTGGGTGGCCAAGCCAGGGCCTGAGCCCCTCCTCCCAGGGCACAGAAGTCATGCCCGCTCTGGAGGAGGAGGGCCAGCCAGGGCTGCAGGTGTCCTGGAAAGGGAAGCCTGGAGCCAGGCTGGGCCGGGGTGGGTACGGGGGTAAGGATGCCTGAGAGCACTCAGCCACACAGCAGGAACCCCCAACTCCCAGATGCTGGACAAGGCAGGAGAGGGCCCAGGGCCCAGGGTGGGGAGAGTTGAGAGTCTGGATGAGAAGGGCCTGGCTGCCCGGCCTGGGAATGAAGACCCTCTCTCTCTCTCTGTCTCATTTCTGAGCCCCTCACTCAGACTTCCTACTTCACCCCCAGGGGGTTGCTGCAGTCACCACAGACATTTAGCACCTCCTGTGTGCAGGATCCTTTCACTTGTAAGCCTCAGGCCACCCACCTGTGAAGTCAAAAATGACCACCCTGTTTGATAGATGAGAAAACTGAGACCAAATGGGTTAAACAGCTCATTCAAGGTCATGGAGGGAGGGAGCGGCACTGCTGGGACTTGAACCGAGGCCCAAGTCCAAGTCCAGGCCTAAGTCCAGGCCCGTCTCCACCATCCAGGGAGCTCTCTGCCCTGCCCCAGCCTGGGATGGCCCACACTAATCCAGCCACAGCCCTGCCTATGGTGGGGCTGTTCTTGGAGGAGGGCAAGAGCTGCCCTTGCCCCTGTGGCGACTGTTGGTAGCCCCATGTGTCTAGCCCAGCAAGGCCTGGACACAGGGCAGGGCTGAGCTGTGCCCAGTGGGGACCACAGCGGGTGGGCCAGCTTCAGCCCAGCGGGAGGAGAACCTTCCAGGTGCACCATCTCGGGAGGTACCTCAGTCCCGCCAGAGCAGGTGTGAGCAGGAGCTGGTTGTGAGGGGACCATAGCTTGGAACAGGACCCCAAAAGATGGGCTCTGAGGTCCCGCAGCCAAGAGCCAGGATTCTGGGTGAGCCTAGGTTTGTAGGTGGGCTCCCCAAAGTCTGGGAGCTTCTCACTGGGCTGGGGGGTGCCCTGTCCCTGACACCCAGTGACTTGACTCTGTCCATTGTTCCTTCTCGCTCCCCCATCTCCACACCTTTTTCCTCCCCTGGCCCTGGGGTCCAGAGCATCATGGAGCAGTTTAACCCCGCCCTGGAGAACCTGGTGTACCTGGGCAACAACTACCTGCGTGCCTTCCACGGTGAGTGCCTGCCCGGGCCACGGAGCACCAGCCCTGGGCCTCTGCTGTCCCCACCCCCAGGCCCCTCCCAGCTTCTCTGCACCCGACACCTGTTCATCCTCAGCCCTACACCCTCCTACCCACCACCCTCACCCTCACACCTCTGCGGCCAGAGAGGCCTTATGCACCCCCACTCTCCTGTGCCCACGCATCCCAGGCCACACCCAGCACCCCTCATTGCCCCCTCCTTCAGGTTCCTCCAGACACTCCCATGATACAGTAGCAGGCCCTGCAGGCCCACACAACCCCAGTGCAACCCCTGATACATCTCTAGGCATCACCTTGATGCCACCTGCTGAACCCACCCCTATACCCAGTCCCACCTCTGCACCCAGACTCACACGGCAGCTGGCTTCCTCACTCTGACCAGCCACCATCCACACGCCCTACAGCTGGCCTTGACACTCACTCGGTCCCCACGCAAACCCTTGTACCGGTCCGCTTTGGCCACTCATACCTGCCAATAGCACCCCTCTACCCACCAGCGCTGATCAACCCTGAACCTCAGGGCCACCCATTCCCCTGCTTCTTAGATGCTGTCCACGCCACCTCCCTGCCCCCAGCTCTCACCTTATGCCCCACACCTGAGCTTCACAGCTCAACTGGCCACACCCTCCTCAGGGGCACACACAGATGCCCACACCCCACCCACGACAGACACAGTCCCTTCCAGATGAAAAGAGCCTCCAGAAGGGTGGGGCAGAGGCAGGGCTGGACCGGACCTGTCCCTCCTGGTCCATAGCTCTGTCTGAGGCAGCCGAGGTCTACTTCAGTGCCATCCAGAAGATTGGGGAGCGTGCCCTGCAGAGCCCCACATCGCAGATTCTGGGTGAGGCTCCCCCTCCATGCAGACCCCATTCTCGGGCCCTCCTTTTGCACCCTTGCCCTTCCAGGATGCCCCGCGTCCCTGACACAGGCCTTGCAGCCCAAGGCCCAGAGCCAGACTCTCGTTCTGGGGCCCAGGCTCCCCGCCACCGCTCCCTGCCGGGCTGCTTCCAGGCTGGGACACTCACGGCCTGGCTCTTGGCCTGGCTCCTAGAGAGCCGTATGGGAAGTTCCTGGACTTTGGTCCTGAAATCCAGCCTCGGGCAGGCCCTCTGTTGGCTTTCAGCGGAAGAGGGTGGTGGGCGGGCGGGGCAGGCTTCCCCACACCAAAGCCACAGCTCCGTCCATGCCTCCAGGGGAGATCTTGGTGCAGATGTCTGACACCCAGCGGCACCTGAACTCTGACCTGGAGGTGGTGGTGAGTATCAGACTCCAGGGCCTGAAGGGGTCACTCGAGGAAAGCGGGGAGCGTTCCAAGGAGAGGGCCCAGCCTACCAGATGCCTTTCCCAGGGGGGATGACCGTGGCTGCCCTTCCCAGCACCTGGCTCTGTGGGGCATGGTTCCTTGCAATAGTCGTTCAAGCTTCTAGCAGCCCTAGGAGGCTGGTGGCATTTCTGCGTTGATTTTATAGAGAAAGAAACTGAGTCTAGCTAGTCATTGCCTGAGATGCCAGAGTGAGTGGAGGCCCAAGGAGGAGAAAGGCCCTTTCACTGCGGCCCTCCTCACTGCAGCCGCCCACGGAGCAGCCACGCGGACCTGACCATGTCACTCCCAGGAGCAGAATCATTCCACGGCCCCACTGCCCACAGAACTGAACACAGGCTTCTCAGCAAGGGGTCCCACGCTCTGCTGATCCAGCAGCTTCTCCCGACACCCCCAACACAGCCCAGCTTCCCGGAAGAGCCGGCCCTCTGCTGGTGTCCCCGCTGCGGGGCTGCTGCCCTGCTGTCCTCTTAGCCTACAGCCACCGGTCCCTTCCTCTGCCGCCCAGTTGAGAAGCAGCTGTCCCCTCCTTCCCAAAGCCTCCTCTGACTCCCTGAGGCAGTTTCAGTCACCCCTCCCCCTGGACTCCCAACAGTCTGTTCGTAGCTCGTGGTGGCTTCAAAGCCCAGCTTCACCAGTGACTAGTTTTGTGACCTTGGATTCTGTGCCTCCGCTTACCTATCTGAGAAATGGAGAGAATCATAGTAACTGCCTCCCAGGATTCTTGAGAGGATGAAGTGAATTAATAAGCATAAACTGTTTGCCCTGGCCCCCGCAAGGCCCCTGGGTACCTTAGCTATGAGAACTAGAAGTTAACTCGCCTGCCCCATCCCTCCCGAGACTGCGAGCTCCGCAAACGCTTCCTTCCACTTCCTTCGTCTCCGTAGCTCCAGGGCCTGGCGCCAAGCAGGACTTCAATGACACAGGGGAAAGAAAAGAGCCGAGGGAGTGGGCTTGGCTAGATGGAGAGAAGAGAGGGCTTTCCAAGGGAACACAGCAGCAGGCTGCACACAGCCATGAGTGGGCAGTGGGCAGACGTGAGCCAGGGCTTGAGCGCGGGGGCTGAGTGGGAGAGGTGGGGTGGGGCCTAGTGGTGAGGCGCCTTGGAAGGTTCGGAAGGAAATTTCAGCTAATTGTTCTCCCTCCAATGTGTGAAGGGAACCCCTGGAAGTCAGGGTGCTCTTTGGAGGATACCATAAAATACTGGTCAGCCGGGCATGATGAACAGTCTTTTTTTTTTTTTTTTTGAGATGGAGTCTCACTCTGTTGCCCAGGCTGGAGTGCAGTGTCATGATCTCAGCTCACTGCAACCTCCACCTCCCAGGTTCAAGCGATTCTCCTGCCTCAGCCTCCCGAGCACCTGGGATTACAGGCACCTGCCATCATGCCTGGCTAATTTTTTCATTTTTTTGTAGAGATGGGCTTTCACCATGTTGGCCAGGCTGGTCTTGAACTCCTGACCTCAAGTGATCTGCCCGCCTCGGCCTCCCAAAGTGCTGGGATTATAGGCATGAGCCACCGTGCCTGGTGGGGGAGCAATTTTTCTATTAGAAAATGCACATCCCACGCACACACAACAAGACCGTGCCCCAAGGCCCCTGGGCTCCGTGCACTCCGTGAGCACTTTAGGATGTAGCATTAAGCCCCTGCCACCCCCTTGGACATGGGCACAGAAGTTATGGAGCCTGTGGGTTCCTGTCCTTGTGTTCAATGGCTGACCTTGTCACTTGTGGCACACACGGGCTGGGCAGGGATGAGTATCACCCAGGCCCACTCAGTAAAGAGAGCTGCCCTCTCTAGGCAGTGGCACCTCGGTTGTGACAACTGGGCAGGTCCAGTGGCCAGAATCACACCAGACAGAACAGTGCCAGAGGCCACCCCCACCTGCAGCTCATTTACTTGATCCCTACTTACTACCCTGTGCCAGGCACTGTGGGAGGCAGCGGGGATACAGCAGACAAAAAGCCCTGCCATCCCAAGGAGGGAGCCAGAAATATCCACAGTGAGTAAGTGAATCGACACGTAACACGTTCCATGCAAAATGTGCTAGGAGAAAAGTAGAGCAGGGACGGGATGTCTTTGGTGGGGGTGCAGCTTTTAACAGATGCTCAAGGAAAACATCACCAGAAAGGTGACATTGAAAAAGGCCTAAAGGGCCTAGCGCAGTGGCTCACGCTTGTAATCCTAGTACTTTGGGAGGCCGAGACGGACGGATCACCTGAGGTCAGGGGTTCGAGACCAACCTGGACAACATGGTGAACCTTGTCTCTACTAAAAATACAAAAAAATTAGCTGGGCATGTCGTGGCGGGTGCCTGTAGTCCCAGCTACTCGGGAGGCTGAAGCAGGAGAATCACTTGAACCTGGGAGGTGGAGGTTGCAGTGAGCCAAGATCGCGCCACAGCACTCCAGCCTGGGTGACAATGAGACTCTGTCTCAAAAAAAAAAAAAAGAAAAGAAAAGAAAAAGGGCTAAAGGAGGTAAGGGCATTAGCCAGGGAGACCTCTGGGGGAAGGGCATTCTGGACAGAAGGGACAGCACGTGGAAAGGCCGAAGGCTGCAGTAGAGGGCGAGTGTGAGATAACCAGCCATTAAGAGGCCCTGACCCTGCAGGCCCCGGCAGGACTGTGGTCCTTCCTCTCAGTGAAAGGGACACCATGGGAGGGTCTTGAGCCAAGGAGGGACGGGATCTGACTTAAAAATTTTTTTTAAATGTTTTTTATTGTAAACTAAAACACAGACACAGAAAATCTTGCTGAACAGATTAGAGCCGAATGAATCATTATTAGGCAAATGGACCTGAAACTACCATGCAGAACTTTGCCAGCCTCCCCAGAAGCCCCTTCAGGTGCCCCCATCAAAACCACAGCCTCGGCCGGGCGCGGTGGCTCAAGCCTGTAATCCCAGCACTTTGGGAGGCCGAGACGGGTGGATCACAAGGTCAGGAGATCGAGACCATCCTGGCTAACATGGTGAAACCCCGCCTCTACTAAAAAAATACAAAAAACTAGCCGGGCGCCGTGGCGGGTGCCTGTAGTCCCAGCTACTCGGGAGGCTGAGGCAGGAGAATGGCGTGAACCCGGGAGGCGGAGCTTGCAGTGAGCCGAGATCTGGCCACTGCACTCCAGCCTGGGCGACAGAGCAAGACTCTGTCTCAAAAAAAAAAAAAAAAAAAAATGAGTCTCTTTGAACCTATGGGTTCCCCTTCCATCTGTTTCTTTTCCTTACACTTTGTCTGCTGGAGGCCCTGGGACCGTCTGCCCTGACTTTCCTATAGTCTGGAAGTTGCTGATGGTACTCTCCTGGTATGTTCAGCTGCTTTCTCTGTCCTCTGGATCCGGAGGCTTGATCAGACTCCAGTGCCATGCCCTTGGCAAGACCAGAGGGGCTGCTGAGTTCTTCCACCAGGAGGCATCGCTGTGTCCAGATCTGCCTGGCATCACGGGATACGCACCACTGTTCTTCTGACGCCCTTTCAGAACATTCTTAGCTAGGATGCTTCCAGAAAGAGACGCTTCCCCTTATCCGTTGTTATTACCCACTGGCACGTTTCATATGGGGAGGGCAGGAGAAAGATTTCATTCATTCCCTTTATTCATCAGGTTCCAAGATAATGAATCTGTGCCCTGTCATCCTCTGAAGGTGAAGCCACCAATTAATTTTATGTTTTAACTAGCACCATTATGTAGTACTTTTATTTATTATAATCAATATCATAGATTTAAACTCATCTGACCTATTTCAATGGTTGGCAATTATTATCTTTACTGAGGTTGAAAATGTCCTATTTTTGGCCAGTGGAAGCTGCTGCGGCCTTTTTTTTTTTTTTTTTTTGACATGGAGTCTCGCCCTGTCGCCGAGGCTGGAGTACAGTGGCGCGATCTCGGCTCACTGCAACCTCTGCCTCCCAGGTTCAAGCAATTCTCCAGCCTCAGCCTTCCCGTGTAGCTGGGACTACAGGTATGCACCACTGCATCTGGCTAATTTTCATATTTCTAGTAAAGACGGGGTTTCACCATGTTGGCCAGGCTGATCTTGACCTCCTAACCTCAGATGATTTGCCCAGCTCAGTCTCCCAAAGTTCTGGGATTACAGGCATGAGCCACCGCACCTGGCCAGTGGAAGCCTCTTTAATCTGCCTCCTGAGTCCTTGCTGTCTGCCTGACAAGAGGTTCCAGGCTCATCTGCTACTTGTGCTGTGTGAGACATGGAATCAACTATTTCTTCATGAAGCCCTGTTTTTACTTTTTGTTTTCAGTGGCAAGTGGTATTTCAAAACCATAGTCTGAATACTAGGGGTGCTCATTGCCTCCGGGTTGATCTTTGTTTCTAGGCTTTTTTGGTGCCTGTGCAATGCATAGATTGATACATATTTATATGCAATGTGTGTGTACACACATATAACACATATTCTGTCACTTTATTTCTGTTGCTGCTGCACAAATTAATTTTATTTATTTATTTATTTTCAGAGACAGGGTCTCACTCTGTCACCCAGGCTGAAGTGCAGTGGCACAATCATATAGCTCATTGCAGCCTCCAACTCCTGGGCTCAAATGATCTTCCTGCCTCAGCCTCCCAAGTAGCTGGGACTATAGGCAAATGCCACCGTGCCTGGCTAATTTTTTAACTCTTTTTATAGAGATGAGGTCTCACTATGTTGCCCAGGCTGGTCTTGAACTCCTGGCCTCAAGAAATCTTTCCATCTGGGTCTCCCAAAGTGCTAGGTTCACTTTTAGAACACTGATTCGTTTTTTTTTTTTTTTTTTTCTGTTTCGTGGGGCTTTCTGGTGTGTTTTGGTTGTCAGTAGGAATGTTACTCTTCCATATTCTCTTTTTTCTAATAATAACTTTCTATTGGATTTCACCTCAGAGATTTTCTGTGGAAAAGTAGGTTTTTTTCTGAAATTGTAGAAGGAACACAGTCAAGACAGC